GGTAGAAGTGCTTGAGCCTGGGAGACAGAGGTTGTGATGAGCCAAGATAGCACTACTGCACTCCAGCCTGGGTGACACAGCAAGACTCCATCTCAAAAATAAAAATAAAAATAAAAAATAACAGAGCAGAAAGGGAGAAAATGATGATGCAGAGAAAAGCAGGATACTCACTGGATCAAAGGCCTTGAGCCTGCTTGAGGGCCTGGGATCCAGAGTCCCAGCAGACAGTCATTGCCTTAGACTCCAACAGGAGGCTTCTTCTGTGGTTGCAGGAGGAGAGGCAGGAAGCCTGGGCGCAGGGGCAGGAGGGTTGGTGGATCTGGTCTGAGGGCTTCATTTCTTTTCTTTTCTTTTTTTTTTTTTTGAGACTGAGTTTTGCTCTTGTTGCCCAGGTTGGAGTGTAATGGCATGATCTTGGCTCACTGCAACCTCCACCTCCCGGGTTCAAGTGATTCTCCCACCTCAGCCTCCAGAGTAGCTAGGATTACAGCCATGCGCCACCACGCCCAGCTAATTTTTTATTTGTAGTAGAGATGGGGGTTTCTCCATGTTGGTTAGGCTGGTCTCGAACTCCCGACCTTAGGTGATCTGCCCGCCTCAGCCCTCCAAAGTGCTGGGATTATAGGCATGAGCCACTGTGCCTGGCGGGGTCATGAATGTAAAGAGCAACTCATCAACAGTTCTGTGTGCTTTTCTTCAGCACCTTCAGCTGCTCTGGCGCTGGCCTGAAGAAGGTGAGGGTTGGGTTTTGGAAGAGTTGGAATTTAGTCAGGTTTAAATAATGGACAGAGAGGGGCAGGTTTATTGAGGGTTCAGCCAGGGAGTAACAGTCACGGTGGAGCATGGGGTCTGCTCAGGGTTAGAAGGGAAGCAAGGACATGAGTGGCTGACAGTGAAAAAGGTGATATTGAAAGAGGATTGGAGGCTCTGATGAAGGATGGTGTGGAGGGGAAGCTAGAGCCCACGATGACTGAGCTGAAGTGATGGGGAGATGAGAGCAAGAAACTGCAAGTGAGAGAGTACAGGGTGTACTCGGATGGTGTCAGCTGGGCAAAGGTTTAGAAACTGGAGGAGGAGAAATGGCTCAGAAGGTAACCGAATGAAAAGACAGCACCCACATCCCCTCCTGGGCTTCCCAAGACATTTCTTCCCTACATCTCCCAGAGCAGTTCTGTCTCTTGCCAGGTTGCCTGAAGACGCCTAGGACAACTCGGGTGGCTTCAGTTTTAGGCCTACTCAGGGTTTTTTTCTTTTCTTTTTTTTTTTTGATACAGAGTCTCGCACTGTCGCCCAGGCTGGAGTGCAGTGGGGTGATCTCGGTTCATTGCAACCTCTGCCTCCCAGGTTCAAGCGATTCTCCTGCCTCAGCCTCCTGGGTAGCTAGGATTACAGGCATGCACCACCATGCCTGGCTAATTTTTGTATTTTTAGTAGAGATGGGGTTTCATTATGTTGGCCAGGCTGGTCTGGAACTCCTGACCTCATAATCTGCCCATCTCAGCCTCCCAAAGTACTGGGATTACAGGCGTGAGCCACTGCGCCCGGCCTGGTCAGGCTGTTTTTCAACTTTGTTTCTCCTTACAGCCTGCTCCACAGCCTGGTTCTGCCTGTACTGCACAGGTGGTAGTGATGTGCCTTCTAGAACAAGCACCTAAGGGCCACACAGGAGTCAGATCCCTAGAGAGAGGGCCTGGTTTCTTCTGTAAACTGTATTCCCTTGTTTGTTTATTCAAACACGTGTTAAGCACTATTGTGTGCCAGGCCTATTTGCTTTATTTTCTTTACCTCTCTCAGCCACCCTGAGGGGAGGGATTATTTTTTATTTATTTTTATTTTGTAGAGACGGGGTCTCACTAGGTTGCCCAGGCTTGTCTCAAACTCCTGGGCTTAAGTGATGGGGGGAGGGATTATTATGCTCATTTTTACAGATGAGAAAATAAAAGCTCAGAGAGCTAAAAAACTTTGCCAAGGTCATACAGTGTCTATCTGAGTCCAAAGAGACTCACTATCCAGATAGGGAAGAATCAGGTAGGGAAATAATAAAGCATAAGAAAGCATGCAAAGTTTTAAGGGAATATGGAATTTAAAAAGATTGCTCCTGTTATGGGTTCAGAGGTGGGGTACATGTGAGTTAGACTTCTAGGATTAGTAGAAATTTACACAGAGGGCCAGGCACGGTGGCTCATGCTTGTAATCCCACACTTTGGGAAGCTGAGGTGGAGTTCGAGGCCAGTCTGGCTAACAGAGTGAAACTCCGTCACTACTAAAAATATAAAAAATTAACCAGATGTGGTAGTGTGCGCCTGTAATCTCAGCTACTTGAGAGGCTGAGGCAGGAGAATCACGTGAACCCAGGAGGCAGAGGTTGCAGTGAGCCGAGATTGTGCCATTGCACTCCAGCCCGGGCAAGAGTGCGAGACTCTCTAAAAAAAAAAAAAAAAAAAAAAAAAAAAGAAATTTACATAGGGAGCTGGAGACAAAGGACCGCAGGCAGAAGTGATAGCCTGAGCAAAGACATCACGACATGAAACTCCGTGGTGTCATCAAGACTGTTGAGTGAAAGGTAGAGACAAGATTGTCTATGGGCCTGGGGTTCATGGACAGCCTCAAGGGCGTCCACAAACCCCCAGACATTTGATTTCAATTGTGGGTGTCTATTTTTTTTTCTAGAGAGAGGGTTATTTTCATCAGATTCTTCAAACCGGGACATTCACTCAAAACAGCCTTGGGTAGCAGATAAGCTTGGAGACATCAGCAGGACCAGGAACACAGGACCTTGTAGCCCTGCTTCAGGAATTCAAACCTCATTCTGAGGCCAAGAGGGAACCCATGGGGTTTTCTAGCCGGGAGCAACATGGGATGGGCCTTAGGAAGACAACACAAGTTTACTGTGAGCCGAAATAGATGGAAAGTCCTTTTATAGACTATAACATGATGTACTGTTTACTGCTGTATCCCCAGAGTCGGGCATGGTGCCGAGCATATATTGGGGGTTCAGTAGATATTTGTTGAATGAATGAATGAATGAGCACAGGTGTACATCATAACAATAAGAAGAGTGTATGTCTCCAGGGTGGCTCTGTGCATTTCTTGACTGATTTAACTGAAGGTGAAATCCATGAACCCCAAGCTCCCTGTGTACAGCTTCAGGCTCTAACAGAAACCTACTGAGTCCTGAGATGATGCTAGGAGTGGAGGGGAGCAGGCAGGGGAGAGTGGATTTGGCACCTGAGGGTGTGGTCACACCTGGCTGTAGGATAGGGCTCTTCCCACAGTGCCCCGTGGTATCTTTGAAGGAGTGGAGGCTACATGGCCAGGATGGCCGGAATTCTTCTTTTCCTCCTTCAACATTCAATCCATCGATTTGTCCTCTTGACTCTGCCTCCAAAACATGTCCTCTGTCCCCTCTATTTCCTCCTTCTCCTCCACTCCCACCTCGTTCCTGCTCCCCACCTGGCCTGGGCCACGACAGCTGTCTCAAAACCAGAGCCATGGCTCTGCCCTTGCCTCCCTACCATCTGCTCTCCATGTGGTGGCCTGAGGGATCTTTAAAACTCTCCACCTGCAAAGAACATGGCTTTCTTTCCAGAAACTTAGAGTACTGTGCTTCTAAAAATTTAATATGTTTCGGTCATGTGGGCATTTTGCTAAGATGCAGTCTGTGATTCAGTTATCTGGGGTTGGGCTCAAGGATGCGTTTTTAACAAGCTCCCAGGCCATACAGTTGCTGCTGCTCTTGGACCACATTAGAAGTAACAAAGACTTAGAGAAAAATCCAAATTTCCTTCCCATGTCCCACTTCATCTGGCCCCTGTCCAGCTCTCCAGTGTCGCCACCGGCCGTTGCTCCTCTTCCTCATCGTGCTGTGGCTCCCTGGGCCTTTATTCTGTTCCTGGAGTGTTTTAAGCTATTCCTGCCTCAGGGCTTTTGCACATGATGTTCCTATTGCCTGGAATGCTCCTTTCCTGGAAGATTCCACATGGGTTTGCTTTTCTTTGTTTACATCTTAGTTCAATGGTCAGATAGTAATTCTCTGTCCACTTCATCTAGTGAAGTACCTTAGCCACCAGAGACTCTCGGCTATTTGCTTTTGTCTTCTTCTGCATAGCACTTACGATTCTCAGTTTATTTTAGTAATATATTTATTGACATTCATTTCCTGCCCTTCTTTTCATGTATGTTCCACAGGGATAAGGACTCGGTTTCCTTCACTCTGAGCCTCCCCTAGAGCCTGGCACATGGTAACTGTCCTCTTCATGTTTCTTGAGCCTGTGCACAAAAATGCTCCCACTCCTGCTGTTGGTGTTTGGATGCAGACAAGCTGGGGAAACTGATGGGGGGATCTGAGGCAGAGGAGAGGAAGGAGGGAATAAGCAAACTTTCTCTACTGGGGAGCCTCAGAAAAAGCCTCAAGAACCTGGAGACGATGTTGAAACCCTGAATCAACACATAATAATTTAATTCATCAAACTAGAAGAGATTCATTCTGGAGGGTGGGGAAGAAAGTAATGCAGAGTTCATTGAATGAGTTAATAAGCATTTGGAACAGTTTAAGTAAACACAAAGTAAATATTTATCGAATAAATAAAATATGCTGAACCCTTATTTTATGACCATCACTTTGTGTTACATAATCTGCTTATCCTCATAAAACATTACCATCTTGCAAATAAGAAGCTGTGCTACCAGATTAGAAGATTTTCCCAAGGTCATATAAGACTCGCCCAAGGTCATACAGTGATCCAGAGACAGAGCTGACCACCCCACTCTCTACAAAAGAGTCAGATGCGATGGCAGGCACCTGTAGTCCCAGCTACTCAGGAGGCAGAGGCAGGAGGATAGCTTGAGCTGAGGAGTTCGAGGCTGCAGTGAGCTTTCATCGCACCACTGCACTCCAACCCGGGCAACACAGCAAGACCCTGTCTCTTGAAAATAAAAAACAAAAACAAAAAAAACTTCTCCACCTCTAAGGGGCAGTTCTATAAACTTGTTTCGGACAGATGACTCAAATCCAGGCAAGAAGCCTGGATCTGTGAGCAAGGAAAGCTGTGGCCTGCTGAATGCTTTGGATAATCAGAGGGAAGAGTGTATCCACAGAGGAGAGACTGGCTTCGTAGAACCTGGTGGGAGCATAACCAGGGAGCTGGCGTTTGTCTAGTCTCAGGCTCTGACATCACCCCTGTGGTGGCATGGGTGGGCAGGAATGCCACAAGCTGGCAGTGGCTCTTCTTAGGATGTGGCTTCCCACATCCATGTGGGCATGTGATGTGATGACCAGGCCCCAGTGGCAATAACAAGTTCGATGTAAGTGCATAAATAGGCACTTACCAGGAAATCTCTTGTGAACCAGGCATGGTGGTTCACGCCTGCAATCCCAGCACTTTGGGAGGCTGAAGGGGAAGGAGCTCTTGAGCCTAAGAGTTTGAGACCAGCCTGGACAATGTAGAGACGCTCCATTTCTACAAAAAATAAAATGGAAAGTTAAAGTTAGCTAGGCATGCTGGCACACTCCTGTAGTCCCAGCTACTTGGGAAGCTGGGGTGGGAGGATCGTTTGAGCCTGGGAGGTTGAGGCTGCACTGAGCCATGATCACGCTACTGCATTCCAGCCTGAGTGACACAGCAAGACCCCATTTCAAAAAAAAAAGAAAAAGAGAAAAAAAATCTTTTGTGAACTGCATTAGAGTGAGTGAGTCGTTCAAGCCTGGCAGCTCTGGCTGCTGGACAGAGGCTCTGAAGCAGCCAGGCTGGGTTGTGGGTCGTACCTTGAGATAGTTCCCTGCCCACTGACCTTCCTCTGTACCAAGGCTTCTCAAAGTAAAGACTTGAGACTGGGCTCAGACTAATCACATCAGGACCACCTGAGAACTTGATAGCAATGCAAATTCTCCTGCCCTGTCCTCCAGCCTACAAAATTAGAAACCATAGGGGTGGGGTCTGTGGTTCTGGGAATTAACAAGCCCTACAGGTGATTCCGATGCATGTTCCAGTTTGAGAACCATAATTACAGTTTCCCTTTCATAATAGTTACTACTTTGCAAGGAGTGGGGTGGGGTTAAGGTAACAGGTTGAGAAATTCATAATACAGTGCAGGGAGTCTTTTTATAAGTTGAGTGAGTACTCCATTAAAGACTTTCAATGGAAAAGGTCAGGGATTAGGGAGGAACCTCCTTGCATTTCAGAAAATCTCCAGAGGAGGGGTTAATTTGCAAAAGCACATTTTAAAGTTATTATAGTTTTGCTTTCTAGACCTGATTTTTTTTATTTTATTTTTTTTTTTTGAGACGGAGTTTCGCTCTTATTACCCAGGCTGGAGTGCAATGGCGCGATCTTGGCTCACCGCAACCTCCGCCTCCTGGGTTCAGGCAATTCTCCTGCCTCAGCCTCCCGAGTAGCCGGGACTACAGGCACACGCCACCATGCCCAGCTAATTTTTTGTATTTTTAGTAGTGACAGCGTTTCAACATGTTGACCAGGATGGTCTCGATCTCTTGACCTCGTGATCCACCCGCCTCGGCCTCCCAAAGTGCTGGGATTACAGGCGTGAGCCACCGTGCCCGGCTTAAGTTTATTTTTTTAAGAGAAAAAGTCTTGCCAATATTGCCCAGCCTGGTCTCAAAGTCCTGGGTTCAAGTGATCCTTCCCCTTCGGCCTCTCAAAGTGCTGAGATACAGGCATGAGCCCACCTTTAATTTCTTTTGAAATGTCAAATGGCATTAAAGGAAAGTGTAATATAAACTGCCACCTACTATTGATGGTTTTAGTGTCTATAAATGTTTGTATCCCACCTCCTATGCAATTCTCATCCTCAAATACAAAACCAAAACTAAAAAAACAATGATCTATCTGTACGTACACACACACACACACACACACACACACACACACACACACACACACACACACACACACCCCTACCCTCAGCTGGCCTAAGAGGTAAAAGAAACACCCTGTAGGACCTGCCGAAAGAGCTCATGAGGCACGTTGCAGCCTTTATTGTGTGCCATGCACTGTCTCTGGCTCTATGAAGAGGGTATAATACACTAGCTAGTGGCTTCTGCAATCGAGCAGCTTACAAGAGAAAATTCAGAGGGAGACATTTTTCTGGTTGACAGATGTTGAAAGTATGGAGGTGTGGGAGCTTTGATCAGAGTCTTGGTTTTTCAGTTTTGCCAGATAATAGAGCACATGGGCTGAACTAGTGGGAGACGAGGGTGAACAGATGGGCGAGACTTGATTGCTGGGTTAGGAGGCACAGGAAGGCACAGAAGACAGAGGACTCCCAGTCCTTGGCAGTACCATACTGCTCCATGCCCACTACTTGGATCCAGGGCCATATTCAGATGAGGTTAGATAGAATTGCTAACATTTATCCAGCGACCACATGTGCCAATCTAGGTGTTGTACATACATTAACTCATTCTTCACAGGAACCCGATGAGTTATTTGATGAGGAGACTCAGCATTCAGAGGAATTCGAATGTGCCCAAGGTCACACCCTAGGCAATGGTGGAATCAGAATTTGAGTCTCAGGCACTTGCTCTGAAGCCATCGACAATTCAGTGCGCTGTCCCCCGTGTCTGAGCTGGCTGGCTGGGTTGGGAATGGCGGAGGGATGGGACTCTTGTTTTGGTGGGTAAATGTGGTCCAGAAGAAAGCCCTTCGCCTTTCTCCAAGCCTGAGCAATCCTCTTGACGCCGGCAATCCAGAGCAGAGCGCTTTGTGAGCCAGTTACAGGAGAGGCTCTGTAAGCCCCTTCCCACTAGATGGCGGCCCCTAAACCCACACACAAATCCTGGAACCTCCCCGGTCCCCATCTTCCAGGGCTGGGCAGCGGCTGAGGAACTGCGGGACGGCGGGACGCAGAGCCGCCTGGTGTCCAGGGAGCTCCCCGCCTCAGCCCCGCCCCATCCGGGGGTCGCGGGAAGCTCCACGGCCGGGTGGGGGGCGGAGGCGGAGGCGGACGGGGAGACTCGGCTTTTCGACTTTCGGCGCCCGGGGGAGGAGCCGGCGCGGGGCAGCCCCACCCGAGACACCTAGGAGGGGCCCGCCCGCACCCGCGGCCGCCAGCGGGAGCTGAGCGGGGGGTCGGGAGCGCGGCGCGGGCGCGGTGGCGGGCCCCGAGGGCGGGGTCCGGCGGCAGGTGCGCGGCGCGGACTACAAGTCCCAGCATGCCCGGCCGCCCTGACCCGGCCCCCGCCGCCGCTTAAAAGGCTTCGGGAGCCGAAGCCGTCGGGTCGCCGCGGCTTTCGCTTTGCCGCCGCAGCTGGGCGGGAGGGAGCGGCGGACTCGGCTGCCGGCTCTCCCGGCGTCCCGGTTCGGGCAGCGCCGAGGGGCGCTTCTGGTCCAGCCCTTCCAGTTCGGGGGTTCCCTGCCGAGGCGCCCGCGCCCCCGGGCTCCCAGCCTCGGCCGCCGCGGCCCCGATGCCTAGGCATGGATAGAGCGGCGCTGCGCGCGGCGGCGATGGGAGAGAAGAAGGAGGGCGGTGGCGGGGGGGATGCGGCGGCCGCGGAGGGAGGCGCCGGGGCCGCGGCCAGCCGGGCGCTGCAGCAGTGCGGGCAGCTCCAGAAGCTCATCGACATCTCCATCGGCAGCCTGCGCGGGCTGCGCACCAAGTGCGCCGTGTCCAACGACCTCACCCAGCAGGAGATCCGGACCCTGGAGGTAAGGGAGCTGCAGCGCCCGAGGGTCAGGGACCGGGTTAGCCCGCGTCGCCCAGTAGGAGGCTTCCCCTCCCTCCTGCACTCGTTGATGCGGCAGCCGGAGGACCCGGGACCAGCCCTCTCCTTGGGTAGGATTTGCGGGGCGTGTACGTGGTGGGAACTGGGATGGAGGCTCAAGGGGCCCGTGGGCGGGGTGGGCTGTGCGCGGACATCACCTTCCCCCACTTCTCCGCCACCACCCCATTTCCAGTTTGTGGGGCCGCAGGACTTGTCCCACTGAGTCACACGCTGGACTTTACCCCGTGTGACCGAGCCGAGCACCCGTGGGCTGGGTGACAGAGGAAGTCCCCCTGAGCGTGAGCGCAGGCCTGCCGTCCGCTGCCTTCCCTTCACGCCCCAGACGCCGTCCTGTCTCTTCCTTTCCTCGCCTCCCAGGTCTTGTCTGCCGCTTTTTAAAAAGTGTTGCTGAAACTGCATTTTTGCTGTTGAGGCGTTTGGTGCTTTCCTTTCACGTTGCCACGGAGGCTTGCTGCTTAAAATGTATTAATAATTACCCGCTGACTCCCCCTGCTTCCCCCCAAAGATTGGATTTTGCCTTAGGAAGGATTATGCTGGGGAAGCAAGCCTTTGGTGGGAAGAGGACACTGTTTAAGGGGTTCTAATGGAGACAGCCTGGAGTGTGAAGAAATTAGATATGCGGGCCTTCCTCTCAAATTATAGCCGGGAAGTATTAGAAGGATTTGGAAAAGCCAGCCCGAGGGTATTGAGGCACCCTGTCCATACACAAATGACTGCAACTAGTGCGTTCCAAATGTGATTTCGGCCAGGGACGGGCCTGTGAACCCTCAGGGACCAGTTAATAGCTGCCCAGTCTTCAAGAAGGGGCCTCTCACCATCTTGCCCTGCCACATCTGGCCTGCTGCAGGTCTGGAGATGTTTTATTTTATTAGATTCTCAATTTCTTACCAGTCCTCTCCCCCCGCCCCGCCCTGCTCCGCCGTTGCTAATTGCCTCTGCCAGCTGTCATAAGGCTCTCTGTGATTGCGGTAATTATTACAAGACCAATCCTTCCTCCAGGCACGCCACAAGCCTGAATCCTTGTTTGATCCCAAATGCTCGGCAGTGACTCTCCTTCAGTTTTATTTTCTTAGAAGCTGTAAAGTCACAGGACATTGGAAGAATACAGTCAGTGCTGGGTATTATGATTTTTTATTACAGTTGCTAAAGCTGTACTGACCAAGGCTTTGCTTAAAAAACAAACAGAACCCCTTACAACCGGCCTTTCTGCGTGCATGCTGCAGTTTTCCAAGTGTTGAGAGAAACTGATTTGTTGAACACAGCTGAGTGTGTTTGCCCAGCAAAGTTCAGTTTTTAAGCTGACACAATAAGGGGCCTGTGAGGTTCAGTTCCGGGAGGAGGGGTCGCTGTCCGTCAGAGTGTGTGCGGCTGGATTTCGGTGTTGCTGGGCTTGGAGAATGCTCTCTCTGTTGACCTCTGTGGGATTGTCCCCATGTCGCTCTGAAGAGCTCCTGGCTCCCAGAGTGTATGTGTAGGAGAACCACTTGCTGTGCATTCTCAGGAATGGCCTTTTGTCCTACCCTGACTTTCAGAGTCCCTCATTTTGACGGCAGTGTGGTGTGGTGATGCCCCAGAGCATCCAGCTATTGAAGTCTTGGAGCTGGTTTATTCAGTGGCTTCCCTCCTGAGTGTTGGTTTAGACGATCATCCCTGGCAGCTGAGAACCCATCTGAAGGCCCGCAGGGGATTTGCAGTGTAAATCCAGCTCCCTGTTCTTCCCACCAGATGTGGATTCCGGTTCACCCCACTCCCTGAAAAGGCAGGAGATGGGTTGTTTTTGGGGTTGGGAATTTAGACCCCTGGAGCAAGTTCCATGGGGCTGCCACCAGCTAGTTTGGATGAGTCACTCCATCCTCGAGGCCTCAGCCTCCTCACCTGAAAAAGGAGATTGGAGTGGATTTCTGAGGGCTCTGGAAGCTGGAAATTCTCTAGATTAGGGAAGGAGATTCGGTTGGTGAAATTAAATGTTTCTGATTGTTTTTATACTACCCCTGTTTAAGAATAACCTCTTTAAGAATGGTTCTAAAATCCAGATTTACTGAGCCTATAAAGTGGGGGTTGTTTATTACCAGAATTGTTGCCATAGGAGCAGTGTGGTGAGCAGGAAGCACATGGCTTTCATTTTGGGCCTGGGTTCTGTCTGTGTGACCTTGGGCAAGTCCCATGACTTCTGAGTCTCAAGCTTTCCTGTCCATAAAATAGGAACGAGACTGCTCACACCTGCAGCATTTTGTCTGTCAGTTCACATTGTTGCTTTCAAAAGGGGTCTGCCTGGCAGCTTTCCCTAGTGAGAGTCCAATAGCACTTACGGCACAGGCCACTTTTAGGGAAAGGTACTTCTGCAGCTGCCTCTCATCTCATACAGGCAGGTGACACAGGCTAGGAAACAGTCTCAGCAAGCTAGGTGGAGCTGCCTGTCCCCAGCAGCATGTGGCAGGGCCAGGCGGGCGTGTGGTGATGTCCACTCGGCATTCTTTCTTGTACTGTGGGCTCCCCACAAACCAGGCCAGGGTCCCCAGAGACTGTGCTTGCAACACTGGATTCCTGGGTTTGGAAGAAGGGTCTGACTGGAGGCCTTGGTCTGCACAACTGCATCGGACTTCTCTAGAATCTTAAGAGCCCCAGCCCACTCTGCCCCTCATTAAATAAGCACTCAGTGGGAGAAGCAGCACATGAGGTGTCCCTGGAGGTCTCTGACCGGGGATGGGCTGCTGCTGCCCAAAATCTGGGTTGAGATGGGGTGCAGGGGTCAGTGTGTCTGGTTTTCTGAGGATAACTTTTCTCTGTGTCGTGGTCCAGTTTGGTTAGAAAAGGGCAGAAGGAGCTGAGGTTTAGCATTTACCTCCTGTTTGCCCTGCAGCGTGCCCATCTCTTCTCAATCTCATAAACGTTCCTGGAGACCGCATTCTTGATCATACACATTTTCCCTCTCTCAATAGAAAGGGAGGGAGACAGTCTGAAAGCAGGGTGTGAATCTGTTAACAGAAGTTGTGAGGCTACCTCATCCTGGCAGGACCTGGTGTTCTGTCTCCGCTAGACCCTCCTAGGGGTCTGAGAACTCCACCGAGGCAAATAGGAATGTTCTTATGTCCCAGATGTGCTCACGGAGGGACACCTGGCCTGCCTCATAGCTGGGCCTGCAGCCCATTCCAGTCATCATAACCTTCATTCCTTTGAATCTGCCCAGCGCTGGGGAGAGAAGGGTGTGTAGAAGCAAACACATGTTGCCTCACGGAGCTTCACGTTCCAGGGACACTGTGACTTGCCCTTTCCTGCAGCCTACTAGTACTTCCCAGAGACAGGCTCTGCCATCCTGACTCTCCCTGCCTTGTGTTCTTGCGTAGAAAAATCCTTCCTAAGCAAGCTGGCCTGGAGAAAGGGGCTGAAGGACCTTGATCATCAGGCTTTGCTGGGATGTGATGTTGGGAACTGTGGTAGGTGCAGTCTCTGCCCTTGGGCTGCCTCCCTGGGCAGTTGCCCTGGAGCTGTGAGGGGTCAGAGGGAAGGCTCTCCTGCCACCTAGAAGGTCAGAGAGGCCTGGTCCTCACACAGCTCTGCTGTGGCAGAGGTCACAGCCTTGCTATGTGGGGGACCTGAGCTCTCCCTGTGCTTCCCAAGGAGCATCTGACAATGGAACTGCTGGGAGGGGGAAGGGTGCTAAGGCCTGAAGATTAGGTCCTTAGGGTGTGCTGAGGCATATTCCCTGGACAGACCTTCGGTTCCTGTTGCTGCGCTTACCTGGCTGGCAGCCACCTGGCGAGGGCTCTGAAGTAGGTGGGCTACTCTCCCAGTCTTTAGGGTTTAGGGACACTCCTAGTCTAGTGAAGGGGCCAGGCAGGGCACAGTCATGACTCTGGTAGCACAGCTTTCAGGACCCTACGTTGGGAACCCCACTGAACCCTTGGCCTGTCCAACCTCCTGTTTTTTTTGTTTTTATTTTTTAGGCAGAGTGCCACTGTCGCCCAGGCTGGAGTGCAGTGGCATGATCTCTGCTTACTGCAATCTCTGCCTCCCAGGTTCAAGCAATTCTCCTGCCTTAGCTTTCGAGTAGCTGGGATTATAGGCGTGCACCACCATGCCTGGCTAATTTTTGTATTTTTAGTAGAGACAGGGTTTCACCATGTTGGCCAGTCCTGGCCTCAAGTGATCTGCCCGCCTTGGCCTCCCAAAGTGCAGGCATTACAGGCGTGAACCACCTCCTGGTTTTATGGAAAATATTCCCAGAGTCTTGGTGATTTCTCCCAAGTCACGGGTTCCTGGCAGAACTGAGACTGAAACCTGGTTTCCTTTCCCACCCAGTCCCTGTCTCGAAGTGTGGCATCCCTCCACTTCTGCCCTGTGGCCACAGTTGTAACCCTTTGGCCAAGTGGCTCCAGCCATCCCTGAAGGGATGCAGAACTGAGGCTCTGGCCCTTTTTGTGTCCACTTTCAGCTGGGTAACTTTTTCGCTGGTGAAACCTACTTCCCAAATGTTTCTTGTAGGCAGCCTGCAGGGGGACCTGCAGCGGCTGTGAGCCTGGGGAGGGCTGGGTGGTGCTGGAGCGAGGTCTTATCAGATCTGCAGCTTTGTTGGTGTGGGTACCAGCAGGTGTGGTTTGTTGCCTGCAGCTGTGGGAATGCCTTCTTCCACGTCAGGGTTGTGTCCTGTTCTTGGAGTCGTCTGGGTTGTCTCAAAGTCCAGGAAAGTGGCAGTCTACGCGGCAGGTATTCTCCTGCCCGCGGGATGTGTCTGGAGACGGACCACGTAGAGACACTGGCCCACGGTGGCGGTGTCTGCGGTGCTGGGGAGGAGCAGCAAAGCCTGTGGCCAGGTCTCTCCAAGCTGTGCCTTTTCGAAAGGCCATCCTTTCAGAATAGGCTGGTTGAGATCTCTTTTTTACATTCAGTTCAAAGGGAAAGCTGCATAGGTGCCTTTGGGGTCAG